GGGCGCGGGCGTTGTGGGCCGCGGGGTGCTCTCGGCCCTCCGGATGAACTCTGCAGAAGGGAAGAGCCTGCAGTCAGAGCGGCCCTGGCCCCCCAGCTCTCCGTCCAGGAACGCAGACCCCAGGGAAAGATGTCCTTATTCTACCCTCCACTCAGACACCGTGGCTGCGTGCCTCTCTGGTCGCCCTGCCTCCTGGGAGTCCCCGTCCCTCACACTGTAAACTCGGGGCTTCTCAGAGCAAGTGACCCTTTCCGGTTCCAATGGTTGGTTTAAGGGGGAAGCTGAGACCCTCTGATGGGGGATGGGGGGACACGGCAGACGGGCAGGATGAGAACCAGCCTGCCCAGGGCCTGCTGCTCAGGGTGCAGCCTCCAGCCAGGCCCCTGGCTGCCGGCTTCTCCCGCTTGGCCTCTTGCTGCTCCCTCTGCCTAGACTGCCCCCATGGTGCACCCTTCCTCTCCCTTCCAGGCTCAGCCCTCAGCCTCTGCTCCGAGACCGCCACGCCCGCATCCTGCACTGCCCTGGGTCCCCATGGCACCAGCACACACGCTGTCACTGGGCCCGGGACGCTAAATGACATGCCTGTGTGTCCCGGCCCGGACAGGGCCCGGCCTGGAGTGGGTCCCTCCAAGAGCGCCGGAAACTGCAGAATGAGTGGCTGCAAAACTGGCCCAGGCCCGAAGCCACCTGAGGCTGGACTTACGCCCCCCAAACCCCAAGCTCCTCTCTCCCCCAACTTCCTCCACCCGGAGTCCCCTTCCTCGGGGCCAGGCACCCCGCCCGCCCAGGGGCCTAGCCTTGCCCTCCTCCTATAGCCCCCACACCCCGTCTGCCAACTGGTGAGCTGCTGGGTACACTCGCCCTCCTGAAGTAGCTCCTTTGGGCCACAGGGTGGTTTTTTAAAGCCAACATTTTCCAATGAGGAGACGTGTAGGTAACAGCTCGGACAGGCAGACACCACATCCATCTCGCTCCGCGTGACATCCCCAAAATGAAGCGCACGGAAGTGCTGTGAATGAACTGAATAATGAACGGACGGGTTTCCTGCTTCTCTTAAGAATGGAAAGGTCTGGCCTGACCGGCGCAGTTCAGTGGTTGAGCGCTGACCTATGAACCAGGAGGTCACGGTTCGAGGCACAGGCAGGGGTTGCGGGCTCCATCCCCAGCGTGGGGCATGCAGAAGGCAACCAATCAATGATTCTCTCTCATCATTGATATTTCTATCTCTCTCTCCCTCTCTCTTCCTCTCTGAAATCAATAAAGCTATTTAAAAAAAAAAAAGAATGGAAAGGTCTGGCAACACTGGGCCTCGCTCCCACTGAGCCTGGCCCCATAGAACAGCCCCTTCCTCAGGGCAAGCCTCCCCAGGTGGCCCCTGATCCCGGGGGCAGTCAGTGGTGGCCTTGCCCGGCCCCTCAGGTCCTTGTCAAAGTGGAAGCATCTTGTGGCAGGCCCAGCCCCGATGCCCCCTCCCCTAGGGACCCTGCACCCAGGATAACTTTCCAGTATTCCTTGCTCACCCACGCTACACCCTCTTTCTCTGTGCCTCTCGTGGACTCTGAGGGTGCTTCCCTGGAAACAGCTATTTCTCCCTTCGCATGCCCCCTCTGAGACCTGCAGCCCCTTTGCGCCACCCACCCATGGCCTGGGACTGGCACACATTGCCCACTTTAACTGAGCGTCTAATGTGTGCCCAGCACAGGGCCCGGCAGAGGGTCCAGCTGGGAGGGCCCACGCTGGGTGTGGGCTGTAGGAGCGTCCCTCCCCCACTGGGTCCCTGTTGGTGGACACTTACTTTCTTTGGGCACAAAGCGGATGAGGCGGCTTCTCACCGTCACCTGGGCCGGCTGGATCTGACACTTGCCGGGGGGTGCCCGTCTGCCAACACACAGAAGGTCATGAGCCCGGCCCTGGGAGCCCGCCCTGAGCCTGTCCTCTGACATCGCACCCCCGCCCCCATGGCCAGGCAGGGAGGGGGAGGGCCTGTGTGCTTCCAGGCCTCGACAGGTGACACCGGTGGCCATTTATGGAGCACCTACTGTGTGGCCCAGTGTCCCCACGTGCTCCATGCCCTGGGATCTACAGGAGTCCGATCCCAGGACAGGAATCCCTCATCCCGCTTCTGCATGAGGCTGGTGGCTCACCTGAGCCACTTCTAACTCCGAGCATGGCCTGTCCTCTGAACCTGGTCGGATGGCACTCCTCCTCCTCCCACAGCCTGCCAGTCCGACTCCTGTCACTGTAACCTACCCTGGCCCCAGCCCACAGCCTTTGAGGAGGGTCCCTGCCCCCCTGGTTCCTGGGTTTCTGGCGATGCAGAAACAGAGGCTCCTCTGCCAGCAGGAACCAGGGAGAGATTTGGTCCATTTAAAGGAAAAAGGCAGAGAGAGTGTGTGTCTCCGGGTTGGCAGCAGAGCTGGGGGACCCAGGGTCC